ACAAACAAGCCATTTTCCAAGCCTCTACAGACCTAACCACTCAGTATTTTTGACTGATTCTTTGATAGGCTCATTCAAGTTGACCAGAGGTATGTTCTGGCTACCTCCCCAGTTAGCACATATTTTTTTTTTCAGATGCCAAAAATGGCCTCCAGAATAAAAACCTTCTCAAGGCTCCAGCTTTCACTGAAATTAGTCCATACCAAGGGAAGTGTAACACAACTACATAATGTAAAAGAATACACAAATACATTTGAGGTACAATAGATTCTTAGAAAGAACCAGAAAAATGAACCAACCTTCATTCTTTTTGCACTCAACTGTAGATATATGTGGACTAATATAAAACAATGCTAGTATACAAGGGATAATGGCAATATGTGCCAAGAATTTAGATATTCAGACTGGTAACATTACCTATGTGCCAGGTAACGTTACCAGAAGGTTACCAGAGTATAACATTTGTCTATGATATATCTTGTGTATCAAGATTTAGGATATTGTTGATAAATATATCCTGGTTCAGCATCTAATCAAAATATTCGTGATATAGTTCAGAACAACTGGAGAGAGAAGAAGAGAACGATCAAAGAACTTTGTCAACTTGATGTTTGATATCACATGCAGGGGTTTGACTAGCAGGGGATGGTAGGTAATACAGATGTGGGTGGGGTATGCAGATAAGGTGCAACTGGAGATCTTGGAGCTGAAGTAAAGGCAGAAGTGGAGGGGATTTCTAAGCAGCTAAAAAAATTCCATAGTGTGAACTGTATCCATAGTGTCAAAGTGGATAATATGCAAGCAACTCAGGAATCTTGGACTGAATAGCTTCAAGGTGAATCACACATGTCATTGAGGCCCAAAATTGTTAGAGGAGAATGAACTGTATTCATAGTGTGATTGGAAGTGGATGATACTTAAGCAACTCAGATAAATTACAGATGCTATTGATGCCCCTTATTGCTACCTACATACTGGGAGCACAAGCCAGACATAGTGCCAGAATCTATACCCCAGACAGCAAAAAAATCACAAGTTTTTTTGCTAAAACTAGGACCTCTGACACCCCTACAGAACAGAAAAATATATCCTTACCACATCTGTTTCACAAAATATATCCTAAGGCCAAGCCAGGGCAAAAATATATTTCTAAGGTGTGACAGTGACATTTCAGGGTCCACTCACCAAAAATATATCCTTGCTGCATTTCACTTGCAAAATATATTTTGGGGGTGTGACACAGCCATTATAATTTTTGTGTGACATTTCAGGGTCCACGTCTCAAGAATATATTTCAGATTTCAGGGCTTTTTAGGACCCATATATATCTAGAATCTAGATATGGTCCATGACATTTAGTCATTTAACTTACATGGAGTTTGCATGACTAATAGTCAGTTGGCACTGGGTAACTGAAGTGATGTAATTTGGTTTCAGTCATAGCTATGTCAAATCTTCATTAAATCTCTTAAAAATTGGTAGAATGATGGGTATTTACATGTGTTACTATTTTATATAACCTGTTTATTTTTCAGAGTAATAATGGTTGAGATACAAATGGTTTATATTGGTATAATAAATTATACGCAAAAAAACCGGTCTGGATTGGTCTGAACTGGCTCCATAGACTGCAAAAGACTGGTCCTAGGTGGTTCGGTTTGGTTCCCTCAATATCTGGGTCAATCCTAGACCAGTTGCAGTCCACGGTTGCGCGTTGTGGGGGCAAAAACTGGACTGAACTGAACTTGCAAACACTAGTGGGATTTGAGGGGGTTTTGGTCTGAGGACCTAAGAGCACAGGTCCTGTATTGGGTAGAGGATTGTTGTTTGAGGATTGAACAGTGTTGGGGTTGAGTTCTTCTGTCATAGCTACCCCTTTTCCTTTCTTCTTCGCCATCAACAGGGTTACAATTTCGCGACTGGCAGAGTTGTTTGTATTGTGCATTTTAATTCTGGAACTTTTGTCTCCAGCAGTGGGGCCTAGCAAGCTCATTGGAGAGAGAGGTAAGGAGGTTTGCTGGCAGCCACCTGGTTTAAATGGAGGCAGCTGATGGTCTGGGCATAGGCACGGTGGGTGCCCTTCAGGGTTCCTGGATGCCAGGGTCGTCCTAGCAGGGGAAATCAGGCAGACAAGGTCTCAATTCTCAAGGTCGTTCGTGCCTCTGCAGTGGGTATAGCTCATTTCGCTTGGGAGAGAGTTGAGGGTATCATAGTTTAGTGGATTCAAAACGATCTGAGTAATCGAAAACGAGGAATCACTATTCCATTGCACTGAGTTGTTACCCTTGGAAGCAGCGAGCAATCACACTATTGTAGGTTTGGGAACAGAGTGAGTGATGAGATGGTTTGATGAATTGTCGTCACATAGAGTTGTCGAGGACGAAGTATCGTCATCAGGCCTGGAGGTACTGTTACTCTCGAAAGCAGTGGAATTTCGTGCTAACGAGGTGACAGGTAAAGTCAATCCAGCTGGGTCAACAACAGACTTGTCTTTGTCTGGTCGGGGTTTTTCGGGTGTAGTTGAACACTTCAGTCACCCATTGACAACTGACTGTTAGTCTTGCAAACTCCATGAATACTACGGGACTAAATGTCAGGGTGTATATCTATATTGTATATATTCTGGGGCTTGTATATCTCCACTTTTACCTAAATATATTTTGTTGTCCAATGTCACACTAAATATATTTCTAGTGTGACACACACCCCAAAATATATTTCCTCACTGGAATGGACTCCAAATATATTTCTTATGCCTGGACCCTGAATTGTGACTGTCACAATGTAGAAATATATTTCTTGTCTGGGATGGACTTGGGATATATTTTGCAGCTAGGGTTGACTAAGGATATATTTTTTCACCCACAAGGGGTGTCTGGGGTCCTATATTTAAGAGAAAAACTTGGGATTTTTTTTAATATAGGGGATAGGGGATTTACCTATTATTTTGTAGGCAGAATACCCTCATCGGGATGTTTGTTGACAGATATTTACCAATAGCTTTGACCCATGTGTAGTATATGCATTGATGTGTGCACTATTTCCTAATTGGGAAAATCATTACACTTTTTTCTGCCACACCTGATGTCAGGCACAGTGCGCATTTAGGTTGGGAACTGTTTCCCATGCTTTTTGGGCCAGAAGAATTAATGGCTAGCATGGTGTGGTCATTGTTAATGATGATGTGCACACTATTTCCTAATTGGGCCATTTCCTAGTTAAGAAAAGTGTTACACTTTTTTCTGACACACCTGATGTCAGGCACAGTGCGCATTTAGGTTGGGAACTGTTTCCCATGCTTTTTGGGCCAGAAGAGTTAATGGCTAGCATGGTGTGGTCATTGTTAATGATGATGTGCACACTATTTCCTAATTGGGCCATTTCCTAATTAAGAAAAGTATTACACTTTTTCAGACACACCTGATGTCAGGCATAGTGCACATTTAGGTTGGGAACTGTTTCCCACGCTTTTTGGGCCAGAAGAGTTAATGGCTAGCAGGGTGTTGTCATTGTTAATGACAATGTCTGCATATTTCCCAATTGGGAAAGTCATTACATAATATCAGTTTGGTTTGTAGTGTCCGGTTTTTTCATTACAAAATTGTATAGTCAGAATAAAAACCTTCTCAAGGCTCCAGCTTTCACTGAAATTAGTCCATACCAATGGAAGTGTAACACAACTACATAATGTAAAAGAATACACAAATACATTTGAGGTACAATAGATTCTTAGAAAGAACCAGAAAAATGAACCAACCTTCATTCTTTTTGCACTCAACTGTATATAACTAGTGGCAAACATTGGTAAATAAGTTGATCCAAGCATCATGCAAGAGACAGGGGTATCCCTACACCATTACACTGTGCTGTAACCTACAGGATCAGGGTCCAACACCATATATAGAACCATGTGACTGAACAATTAACTGCTCAGTTATCTGCCTTTTGGTGTAACGGTTATGTGTTGGTTCTCTGGCCCTCTTACAGTCCGGTCTTTTGCAGTCTTGGGACTGGACTTCCAAGCACTACCGGCGAAGAGTCAAACTGAATTGTTCCTGAAATCCGTTCCATTTACAAATTTAAATTCTTAACAGCCTTTTGTCCTGTGGATGTGCAATAGTAACAACAATTTTTTTACATTTGGATGTTCACACGATAGGCAAACACACTGTCAAAATAAATAAAAACTCCCATAGGTCTGTTTTAATTACATAAAAGGTGCAAAAATGATTAATTTGTCCTAAAATCTGTCAAAGACCTCACTTAACTGCCTGATCTTCGTTTGAGTTGTATACCAGATTGTGTTGATTCCATACCCTTATATTGTTCTCCCAATTTGCTGACGGAAACTCTTTTGTGAAGGACTTGCTTGTTAAATAATAACAGCACAGATGTAATTTTTTATTGAACAATGTCCACTACTAATGATCTCTGTAAGGTAAGGGCCAACTAGGCAGACATCGGTGGACGTTAAAAAGAAAATGGTTCATGGTCAAAACACGTCTTCATCAACAAATCTTGTGAGCGTCAACTAATTTCTGTGGATAAACGTAGGAATGGCGGAAACACAAACAAGCTATGCGATACAAAACGGATTACACGTCAATTACTCGTGAGATGGTTCAGCATTAGTGGTAGCTGGCGCAACGACTCGCGACTGTGAGCTGATGTTTGCAAGAACAGGTTTCAGCACGTTGAGATATGTGATTTGAGCACCCTAAGGGGAAAAGGGGGCTGTTAGAATGCAAGGATAAAAATAAGCAAGATGAAACTTACGCGGACGCCGGGGAGTTGGAGCCAGACGATGAAGGCCGATTTGAAAGCGAAATACCACGGGACATAGTAGAGAACAAGGCGGAGGGCGAAGCTTTCGAGGAAATTGAAAAAGCCGAAGACAACCCAGTAAGTGAGCCATTGGATGTCATCATGGGGAGAAGGCGATTCGATGGCTTTGAAAGAGAGGTAGGCGGGAAGACCCCAACCCACGAGGTTGGATATGGGAGCGGCGAGGGCATTGAAAGTGTGGAGTATGACGACGAGGAAAAGACCTCCCAAAACTGTGTACACTTTGGGAATTTGGGTGCGCTGTTCAAAATTGTTCAGGACAGGGTACTTTGTGAGCTTGTACAATGGTAAGAATATGAGGGACAGAACGGGACGGGGAACGGGTACCTCTTTGTCAAGCTGGTTGACGTAGTAGCCTGCTTTGTTTTGGGCTTGAACGACGAGAGGGTGTTGTTGAAGACGTTGAGTGGCGGACATGATGAAGACGAGGGAGCGCAAGGCAAGATGCAAGTGCAGATGATGGTGGTTTGGAGAGAAAAGGGTTGATATCGTTGATGACACGTGTTTGTTTCAGATACGTCAGACGTGGCGCAAAGTGGCAACTGGTGACAACAACTGACAAACACGAAAGAAGCAGTTTACCTTGAGTTTACCATGCAGGACTACCAGTCAGTAAAGGTAAGTACCGGTAAGTATTAAATCCAATTCAATCCTCATCTCCTCATTTGCCCAGGTTCTGCACCACTCACTGCCCCCATTTGCACCTCTTGTTCCCATCCCTCTTCTCCCATTCCTCGCCCTCATCCTCATTGCGGCGACCTTTGCTCTCACTTTCTACTTTTCAACGTAATTCACACCCTTTTGTTTCTTTGCCCAGCTAATACATTCCCCCAGCCTGCGAAAGCACACCTTCCCTATCCATGAAACAGCCGTCGCCTCTACGGCCAGTATCCTCGCAGGCTTTGGCATCGTAGCTCTCTTCTGCAGCGCAGGCGTGTACGTGTAGTATATCAGTTGTTTATCCGCCACCCATGTTTGCATGAAACGCACTACATTTCTCTTCGTTGGTCGTCGCCTTTCCACAATCAGTGTACTCACAGTATAGAAAATCGTCGACCCTTCGTCTGCGCTACGTAACTAGAGTATGTGTTTGCTTCGTCAACGCTTCCGACCCGCCGAGGTAAACAACCCACCTGCATTTCCTTTGAATACGCTTCTAGATGTCCGCATGACGGACATTTCTCGGCCACCTGCATCGAAATGAGCAACAGCGGCTTGCACTTGTGGGGTCAATTGACCCACCAAGGTTCCTTGATCTCCTTGTGCATGATGCTTGGTTTGCGTCTTTCTCTTTTGTCTCAAGGCTGAAGGAAACGCGTCCGGATGTGAACGCGTCGTAGTGACAACACTCTCATACGCTATTTGTCCATGTCAATCGCGGCGTGCCTGTACAGTTAGTTAATGCTCACAGCTGGCAGGTTCTTGACGTTGGCACTGCTCGCAGACGACATCCGTTTCCCCATCCTTGGGCAATGCGAGGAGTGTTCCGCAATCGGCGCAGAACAACAACGAACCTGTGTATGATGATTCAGTTCAGATGATCTTTTAAGGGATGGATATCATTTGACCTATCTTGTGAGCGGACATGACAATTGAGCCAAATTTTAACGAGAGTTCGCTTTTTGGAGCACGTGGCGCGGCAGAAAATAAATTCGAAACGTAAGGGACCGAGGACTCGCAGGGACTCGCCAATCTCGGACAAGGATGTGGTCTCTATGGTCAAGAATACAACGCATGGTTTCCTATTTGTCTATCCGTCTGTGCTCATTTGTTTTTGTAGGCGCCATCCTTGTTTTTCTTTCCTGCAACAATTATGAATCGCGCTTTTGTGTTGGGTTGCCTGTGGGTCCACCAGTTAATTCGTTATAATCCCCCCACCACGGAGGACGATACCCAGATACGGCCAGCCTGTTCCCTCGCAGCTTCTCCTTTGTTCTTTTCTCTTGCCCGCTGTGCGTGTTGCTACTATCTTTTCCTGCACCCAAGACTCCTTCGACTCGTCCAACCTTTGCTTGTCACGCCTACTTACGCCCTTTTCGCTGCGTTCCTCTCAAAATGTTCTCCGCCCATTCTGAACTCCCATCTCATCGTCTTCAGAACATCATCATTATCCTCCGACGTGCCAACTCCCGATACACCGATGTCGCCTCTCGCATTCGTGCCTCCCTTCGTCCAACTTTCCACGCTCGCAAGCGTGCTGCGGAGCTTAGACTGGGCGTTGACATTGGCAAGGCTATCCGTTGCGAGCAACGCCAAGTGAGCATCGTTCCGCTACCAGTGCTGGATCTCGGTACCAGCCCAGTGACCGGGACGATCGAACCTATTGTGCCGATCATCTGCAACGGCAACAGCAATAGCAAGAAACGCCCTGTTCTCAGGTGTGCCATTCCGACACACCCAGTCATTCACCAGCCACGCCAACTCGCGTCCTCTATATCTCGGTACCGTCTTGTTACAGACGGTCGTCCCTTCCCTCCCCACCATCTTCCTTCGTCTCCTGTGGATAATACCCCAGTAGAGGCCACGCCGATAGGGGATGAGGAAATCAACACGTCGCTTTTCGTGGACGTCAAGGGACTCATTAGCTGGAACTTCACTAACACGGACGTTTCGTCAGCCTCCTCGACAGAATCTAGATTGACGTTTCCGTCATCTTGTTCAAGTTCGGCTTCTGAGACAAACGGTCCACTGACACCTGTAAGCAGATCTCTGGGCTGTTCCCATGTCTATTTATAATTGTTCATAGGACGTTTATGACGTTTATCCCCTTCTGATTCGCACTAAACGTAAGTCTGCGAATGCGGCGGATGTAGACACGCTCGAAAAACGTCCAAAAGTGTGTCTCTGCCCTTAGAGTTCTCTCTCAGGCTCATCGATTTCTTTAGTTTGAGAAAAAGGAATGGCCTTCCCCCGCAGTTCAAAGAAATGTCGTACGAATTCCATCACGCAGGCAAACATAGTTCTTTTGATGTTAACTAATCTCAGGCTGCCAAGCCATCACCGTATGTACCTCTTTCTCAGTCGTGTCAGCTGCTAATGGCTCACCGAACATATCCTAGTGTATCACGCTCTTTTACGCCCAACTCACTGATTTCTGTCGTTTTCTTCTCTACCGTCGCCAATGACCTTTCTACTCATCGACGTTGTACTACAATATGATCCTTGTGGTCTTAATCGATGGGGCTCTCATTCATCGGACTTTTTTTTTTCCTTTTATCATGTTGCCTGATTACTTGTGATCGTCGCCTTGACTCTGCCCTATATCATGTTTGCCGTTTTATTTAAATAAGGCCTTCGCCTCTTTGTTTTCTAGGACTTGTCACGAAGCGTTAACAAACTGGTATACGTTTTTACAAAACTCAGAAGGTCATTAATGTATATATAGGTAACGATACTCTGTATTAATCAGAAAATTGTTGCAAGCGCGCCGTCATCATAACCGCTAGCCATGTTGGTTTTTGGTCCAGGCCCATTTTTCCCGAACGTGAAGCCAACCCACACACCCCTTCCGAACGGCTCCTCCTTCTCCTTTACTCGATCCACATTCTTCTGCTTTTCTTTCACTTCTGCGTACTTGGCCATGTCTTCAGGAGACGTAAAATCGTCGTAATATCCTGTATCAAGTTCCGAATCGAGGGCGGGAACGAAAGGGGCTCGAACAGCTCGTAGATCGTCCCATTTTACGGTCTCAAAGAAGGGGTGAGCGGTCAAGTGAGCGAGGGTAGAATAGCGAACGCTGGCATGTGCTATAAGCCTGCCGAGGACAAACGTGAAATTATCACACATGAAGAGGGAACGAGATCACACGGACCGAGTAACTGCATCCCATGCTACATCTGTCAGGTTGAAGATCAAGTCTTCTGCTTTGTCATATTCTGGTCGGCGCAAGACTTTGGTCCAATTTTTCAGGTTGGTCCATGTTTCCTCAGGAGTACTACCGCTGAAGGGGGGAAACCCTGCCAGAAACTCGAACAATATACAACCAAGGGACCAGTAATCGACGGAGTAGGTATAGGGTTTTCCCCGTAAAACTTCTGGAGCCTATGAAACGAAATGAGACATAAAATCGATTGGGAGGGGGTATAGCTCGCCATATAGTCAGGGGAACCAACTATGGAATCTGCATACCGGGGATCCTCATTGCGAACAGACCGATAGATAGAGCGACGCTCCATAGTAGATCTGTGAATTATTTGATTATCTTTGACTTTGTCCAGCTATGAGGAAAATGGCATGGGTGATCGAGTTGAGTGCTCTGAATTAAACACGACAGAACCTTCACTTTCAGCGATTCGATACGTTTAGGATTGAGAGCCCCTGTCGCAAGACCAAAGTCGGTCAACTTGACATGCCCAGTACCATCTACAAGAAAATTCTGCCATTACGTTTAGTTAGACAGCTAAGGGTAGAATCCGTCAACACTACCTCGGGTTTAAGGTCGCGATGAATGTAGCCAAGCTTGTGAAGTTCGTTAACAGCGGCAAACATTTCGCTGATATAGAAGCGCGCATGTTCTTCTTTCAAAACACCAGAATTGTTCAGGAGAGTTCGAAAATCACCTCCAGGAACATATTCCATGGCAAGGTACACATGTTGGGGATCCTGAAAAGCATAAAGAAGACGGACCAACCATGGCGTTTTCGTCGCCGTGAGAATGTCGCGTTCAACAAGGACATGTCGGATCTGTGAAACAAGTCAAGTCAAGCTGAGATATCATAAAGGGCGCAAGGCACCTCGTCCATTTTAAATAACGTCCTTTTTCTCATCTTCTTGAGGGCGCAAACCTCGCCAGTTTCTTGCTTCCTCGCTAGAAAGACTTCGCCGTAACCTCCTTGCCCTACTTGAGCGATGATATGGAACTGGTCAACTTTGAGCTTCGTACGACGGCGACGAAGAAGCACCCGCTCTCGTCCACAGTATGACTTGAATTCTTTCGCATACTCAGCTGGTTTGAGATCCCGAGCAGCGGTATCTTGATCAAACTTCGTGCGACGGTCTTTCCGAGCGACGATGTAGCCTAATGTCTGGAAGTAGTAGTCCAGAAAATCTGATAAACAGATGTCAGGATAAAAAATTTGGAGTCCTATCTGACTTACAGAGTTGAGCCACGGTTGCTTTTCGCCTCACTTCGGAACTCTCCAAAAGCTCCTTTTCCCAAATCTGAAAACCACTCTGCTTCGCGGTTGCACCACCACGAGCTGTCTCCATTGTGATGTCATCTTTTGTTGTCAAAGGCTTCGCAGTACCCATGCGAATATCACTGTAATTATGCATAGAAGAAGGCAAGCCTTTGGCGGTATCCATGTGGATGTCACGGTAGTAGGATGAATTGTTCTCCTTCAGTTCAGGCAGACCTGAAGTGGGCTTGGTTGGCGATGAGGGGGGGTTTACGCGATTTGAGATCATGGGCGCCAGCGATGAACGGGAGGGAGGTAGACTCTAGTTAGACTCTAGTTATAAACTCTGATTATATGTGCTCAGAATCAGTGCTCAAACTTAAAGTCAAGTGTTGGGACGCGAACCAAACACGTGACAAGTCACATGGCCACCTCGCGACGCGTCTTGGGACTCACAACTGTGTCAACCAACATCATGCCCCACGTCCTACGGCTCCCTCAGATTGACCTAGCTTCTGTTCTAGCAGAGCAGAATCCACATATCGAGCTCCGAACTCACATCTATGAAAATTCCACCCGCAATTTCCTAAAGGCACTCATCACCTACAAGAACCGCGCGATCGCCACAATTTCAGACCGCCGAAAGCATCAAGCTATGGAAAAGAAAAAGGTGGCGGAAAGGGTCAATCTTGTTGAGACCGAAACGAATCAATGCAAGCTAAGAGAGATCGAACTTGTGGCAGGTGCGTTCATAGTCCCTGAAAGTGTTGTCAACTCATGATACACAGACCTTGAGCGGGAGAACGAAGAAAGGAAGGACGCAGAATTGTCGATTGCTGCGTTCAACCGTCAGCTAGCATCATTGCGCGACAACTGCGTGTCTATCGAAACTGAAATAGAACAATACCGTGCAATTTCGGATAATCTCCGTCGAGGTTTGTTACATCGGTCACTCCTCCTTTCAGCACCTCACGCCTCCCCCAGCAAAAAACAAAGAACAGTCGTTGTTGCACACACATGCGTCTAAGGTGTTACCAGAGCTCAACTTTTGTGAACAACGCCTGTCGTGTGTGATTGAAGGCGTTGAAAGGGACCAATTACTTGTTCGCTTCGCCAGACTTCAGCCTTCAGATCAGAATTGCGAAGCATCTTTTGTGATTGACGTTTCCAATAAAACCTACCGAAGTAAGCTTGTTATCTGCAACCTACTTTTTCCCGTGTTTCAATCAACCTTATCAAGTCATTACATCGTCGCCCCATCTTCCAATCCTACCCATCCTCGTTAATGCTCTGAACGAAACTGGAGATGTATACGCATTTGTCAGGCAGGTTCGTGACCAATATCTTGAATTGGTGAGCCCTTCTCAAATTTTCTGGGAACACTGCTGGTTGAGTATGGTTGGTCCTTCAGTTTTCTGTGCTATGAGGCCGCCGTCTGCCGTGGCCCGGTGTGTTAAATAATATATTGTATGACTGTCGTTATTGGCCTATGTTAGCAGCAAGTCACTGAACACATAGGCCGTAAGTAATAGTTCAGTTCAGGTTCGGTCAATTGGCAGACTTTGCCTTGATTGTTTATTTACATAACATTATGGAACTTTGGTAACGGTTTGTAGTCTCATGGTTCCAATCTTTGAACCTTTTTCAACCTCATATATATTGCCTGAGAAGCGAGTGAAAAGGATCGCTCCTTCATCTTGGCCTCGTTGATAGAGTACATATTACTGTAAGGACACCCTACTTGAAATCCCCCCAAAGGTCTCCGAATACGTCGTCTTTCTTGTGTACAGGGGTGGCTGAGAACGGCTCACTGAAGGTGCTCTGACTCTGCTGTTGAGCTGGCGGACCAAAATTCATTCCATCCCATACATTGCTTGTATTCAACAGACTTGCTTGCTGATGTTGTGGAGAATTTGCCCAGACGGTATTCGGCAAATCCGGAGCACTCGGTCCTGTCCAGGCTGAGCTAGCACCCCAAGCTCCCACGACATTAGGCTGCTGTGGTTGTATGCTACCCCAAGGGGAGGACGATGCAGTAACGGGCGTATTATTATAGTGTCCAAAGCCAGCCGTAGCAGGCTGAGTTGCGCCCGGGGGGCTAGAAAACAGGGATAGAATGTCTTGCTTGAAATCCTTCTTGACCTGCTGCACGGGTGCATTATTCACAGGCGGTGGAGCGTGGAAATCAAGAGAAAACAAGTCATTTTGTGGGATGTTGGTCTGCAGAGTCGATTCGTGGTGAACGGGTTGAGGAACGGATGAATCGGCGGATGTGGTATTCGGTTGTCTATTCGAGTATCCAGCAGAAAGCAGCTGGTGATGTTGAGGTGGAGGGTTGATCGCAACATTGGATTGACGAGAGATACTCGAAATCGTAGCGTGAGATGGTCGAGTAGAAGTAACACTCTTGGGTTGAGTTTGTTCTGGTATTTGTGAGGAAGAAGGATCTGGTATTGCAGCCGAAGAAGCATTCTCCAAGACGGATGGGTCAACCGGAGGGAGCCCGTCTAGAGCCCATCGGCGTGATTCGTACTTGGATCTAATGAAGGATTCCATTTTGCTGAAAAGTATGAACAAGGATACCATGGTCTGGATGAAGTTCCTTACTGCTCAGGAGGGGTGTGCCCTGACTTGAGATGAGCTTCCCAATATAGATTTGCGCGATGGTTCCCCCATTTCTGGATAGACTGAAAGACGATATGAAGGCATGGTGTAAGAAGGTTTTGAACGAACCATACCTCCATCTGCTCTGGGGTCCACACATCCAGATCAACAGATTTGACCTTGCTAATATGCGTCCCCATACCACGGTGGATGCCCGAGCATCGGATGCACAAAAACACGCCACTAACACTGAATAAGCCGCGAATGGGTTCATTCCCTCATCGCACGTACAGATTCCAGGAAGCCCACCGAGGATCTGAAGAACGTGAGTAGTGGATGGCTACAGCGAAAGCAAGCTTACGCACCGTTTCGCTTACAGTCAGCGCAAAGTTTGTTTTCTGGTCTCTTCACCATCTCCCTTAGAGTCCTTGTGAATCTTTCCGTTGTTACTTTGTCTTGTCTGGACATGATGAGTTGACTCGTTGAAACGTTCAAGCAGCCCAGTTCTTTTATTTTATTTTATAAAGCTGTCGCACAACAACCCACAACACTCGTAACAAAAAGTGTCTAATACGACAAATAAGAAAAAATTGGATAGACATACTAGAACAGTCGGGAGAAGGAGCAAGTTAGCTAGATGAACGACGACGTATGGTAGTGTTGGGAGATGTGGTTGCATGTTCGTATGTCCGTCCAAATGCAAACGAATGGGGCGCGGTAAACAGCAATCCAGCACCAAAGCAATTCACAAAAGGTGTGTCGCTGGAACAGCAACACACCTCAGAGAAAACGAATTCCACTAGCCGACAACCTCGTGCAGTAGTATTGCACGCCGGAATGTTGGGTATATTGATTGTTTAACTTGTGAGGATCTTGCCCTAGCATGTAGCGAGGCACGAGTGGAATGTTAGGGTGCTGTCTTTGTACAGGGCATGTGATAGTCTATGTAAGCAATCTCTCTCTCTTCCTTACCGTCACTATTACAGCCCCTCTGAGGACTGGGCTTGCCTTTCGTTTTTCTATTTTCCCTGCCAACTCTCGTTTGCTCACACTCTTTTCAGAACATCTTGCTCACATTCGTCATTTTGGGACTACCAAATGCCACGTATCACGCTGGACCCCGCGTTGGAGGTGAGGCCAGACTTCACGTCTCCAGCTTTCGATGCTGTCTGCACGGCTGTGGCAACAGCGGAGGGCATAGAGAAGGCGGTGGTGGCTACCCGACTCGCGGATGCCTGGGACGTGGACAACGACGCCAGGAAGGAGTTATGGGCGGAGCAGGTGAGGGAGGATGCGGCTGCTGCTGAGGAAGACAGGTTAGCTCAGGAGGCGGAGGAGCTGCGTCAGCTCGAGGAACTCAGGAAGGAGGAAGAGGCGGAGAAGAAGGACAAGGAGAAGAAGCGACCCAAGTTGAAGGGGATCGCCCCCAACATGCCGGTGGGAAACGTCCCACCGCTTCGCCCGTCCCGCTATGCAATTCACAAGCTGGACGAGCGCGAGTACGTAGAGCTGTACTATTTCACCACAGAAGGGTGCGAGGATGCGGCGAGGTTTGACCGAACCATAGCCCAGGACGCTTTCGCCTTCACCAAGGCAGACAATGCCCTCCTTCTGAAGCCCATGGCATCGCACAAGCCGTCCACGAAGGTAATCCCAGACGAGGACCTTTCTTGGCGCCAGATGTCGATGGCGAAGACCTGCCTGCTCCACCACATGGCCCAGACTGATTGGCCTGAGGACCTCGTCATCGCCCTCGCTGAGTTTTACCTCAGCCTTGAGTGCCACCCCACGCGAAGGGAAGTGGATGGCGACACAGTCCTGCTGCACTACCAAGCCCAGGTCCGGCGGGAGTGGCACGAGGCCCTCCGCGATGCTGCCGATGACCATGTTTTTAACATTGGCATCATCAACAACAGACGCGTGGAAGCCATTGGTTCCGTGCTGTGGAACGCGAGGCGCACTGAGGGCGTGCTCAGGTCAGTACCGTTTCCTTTCATTGTGGTGTGCACACAAGCTGACAAGTTTCTCCCCTTTTTTCTCTCCTTTTGCCTCCCTTTGCACGTTGCCACCTATCTTGCGCCCATGCTCCCTTGCACCCTTGCACCCCCCCCCCCTTTTTCTTATGCTCTACGCGCCCTTTGCACCCGTGCCTTTGCTTCCCTTCTTGCGCCCATGCACCCATTCTGTTTACCTAACTGCTACCCTGTTGCGACCCCCGTGCTTATTCCTTCCCCCCCTGCCTGCTGCCTCTGACCCGCCAACGGCAGGCTCGAGGAGCAGTTTGCTCAGACCACCCTAGTCCCAGATAATGCCAAGGGCTCTCGCGCCCAGGGACCAAAGCGAGGGCGCTCGTCTTCCCCATCTGCTGAGCAGCGAGGGCAGCCAAGCCAGCACAACGCAAACCGCCCAGCAAGGCGGGCACGTCGCTCCCCCAGCACATTGCAGCTTCCCAAGTCCTCCTCGCCTTCGAAGGATACCAGACGTCGTCGTCCAGGAAGGGGTGCTACAAATAACCAGCAGTCTTTTCAGACGGGTGCAGCCGGAGATGGAGCCTTATCCGCCTGCACCATATGCCTGGGCCGTTACCCTCACGACATCTTCAACTGCGCATTGGACACCCTCTGGGATGGCACCCCAGTACGCTGCCGCAAGAATGGCCAGGGTCGTCTCATCAACCCAGCAGGGAGCATCCTGTGCTCCGACTGGCAACGGCCGAACGGTTGTTCCTCCACCACCCACGACTCTCGACACGAGTGTTCGGGGTGTGGGCAGCAGGCTCACGGGGCTCAGAACTGCCCTCGAGCTCAGAAGGCTTGATGCAGCATCGCCCTACAAGCCAGAGACCTGGCAGAGGCACCTTCATGAGGCTGGCCTCCAGGGCAAATACCCTGACTTGCCAGATGGCCTCAGGTTTGGCTTCAGTGCTGGCATCCCACGTATTTTTCAGACCTTCGCTCCCCCTAATCATTCGTCTATTACCTTACACAGCACGGAATTTAATGACATTATTCAAACTGAGTTCCAAAAGGGGCGTTATTTTGGCCCCATCACTCGTGCGGAAGTCGAGT